ATGAACATTAAAAATAGGGAATCCTAAAATAAAACTAAAAAGGAAATAAAAGAGAAAAGGGAATGATGTAAGATTAAATTAACCCTTAATTCTGAAGATGAAAATGGTCCCTTAACATATTTAAATTGCTTCTTGGTCTTGTAGTCTTATCTTATTCTTTTTTTCATTATTTAGAGAATTCTTTATTAGTTTCTGTAATCAAACCCACGTAGATATGACCTTACATATTTAATACATTGAGTTACCCCTGTACAAATGGAAAAAATAAAAATAAAAAATTAACATTTCTAGACCAATACGGTGTAATAATTATGCACTAAAATAACATAGTATTAGGCCAAATATGATATACATCTCCAATATATATGACATATATATGACACATATATATGACACTTATATATATATATATATGTGTGTGTGTGTGCGTGTGTGTGTGTGTGTGTGTGTGTATTTATATAAAAAGACCAATAATAGGAGTATGTTATGAATCAGTAGCAGCAACAGCTTTTCCAGGTTCTGCAGTCATTTAAACAAAATTATAGACATTCAGCACATTGCATTAAAAAAAAAAAAGAAAAGAAAATAATACTATCCAGAAAACAGCAAAGTTTTGTTGCTGTTGTGGTACCTGGCACCATTTTTTTTTATTAGCATCTTAGTCATCATCTGGAAAGAGAACATTTTTAAAAAGAATAAAAGGAAAAAATGGAAATAGTGTTTTTGAAAATGGGAAGAGGACCCAGAATTGGAAGGAGTGAGGTGGTAAGGAAGGTTTAGGAGATGAAAAAAATTGAAATATGTTTTGTGCATGTAACAGCTATACAAGATAAATATAATTGTGTACAGCAAACACATACAATAAGATATATATTTGAAACTCAGCTTTTGATTATCTTCCTTTTTTCCAAACCAGCTATCCAAGCATCATACTTTTTTTTTTTTTTTTTGGTACCGGGGATTGAACTTGGGACATTGTGCTTGCCAGATAGGTGGCAGAAGCACTGAGGTAAACCCCTGGCCCTCCCAAGAATCATTCTTAATTCCTTTTTCCTCCATTCCATTTCCTAGTAAAGTGACTATTTTGCCTATTCTTCTGTCTGATCTCCTTTAGCTTTTCTGATATGCATTCTGTACTTCATAGCCAGGCTTATCTATTTAAATGTGCCTGCTTGCTTTAAACTCTTCAATGACATTTCTTTCCTTTGGGTACTAAATCCTGGCCTAACCATGTGGTCCCCCAATAGTTCTCCAGTCCCCTCTTGTATTAATGTTCACTGCCAACTTCAGTTTTACAGGCCTCTCCTAATTCCCATCACATCTCAGGTCTTTTCCACCCAGTGCTGTTGCATGTATAGCTTCCTCTTCCTGAGGTACCCAATCCATCTTTTTCCATGGCCTTCTCTCTCTCATCTTTCATATTTTCATCCAAAAGTACAATGAGGGTATTTTACATATGCTTTCTAATTACTCTACCCAAATTATTCTGAATCATCATCTTACCTATTTTCTTCTTAGAAGTTAGACCACCATGTTCATTTGTTTACTTGTTTTTGTCTTTGTCCTTTTTTTTTTGTTTTTGTTTTTTGAGACAGGATCTCACTATGTAGTTGAGACTTACCTGGAATGCACTATGTAGCCCAGGATGGTCTCACACTCACAGCAATCCTCCTGCTTCAGCCTCCCAAGTGCTGGGATTACAGGCGTGTGCCACTATGCCTGGCTGTCTTTGTTCTTTTTCAGAAAGTCCAAGTTTCATGCAATATTTGCCTCATCTCTCTCTTTGAGTGCTACACCTTAAGTACATAACACAGTATTTGGTATTAAGTATATACTCAATAAATATTTATTGAATGAATGAACCAAAGCTAAAGTCAATGGTAGTTTAAAACTATAGATAAGGGCTAGTAGAATCAAATACATAGAGATATCAAGTAAAATAAAAATTGAAATGACTGTTTCATTTGATCTATTGAAGTCACTAGTGAGAGAAGTGAGTTTGGGGTGGAAAGAAGAGGTAGGAATGCCATTGGTGAGGAATACAATAGGAGAGTGAAAATGGAGAACAGAAAGTATTCTAAGGTGGTAGGCAAAAAAAAGAAAAATGAAATGATGTGGTGCTATAGTCTTGGGGTCTAAAGAACATTCTTTTAAGTGTTTGTAATTGAAGAGATTTGTATTTAATTCTGTATCAAGAGAAGGAAGCAGCAAAGGCACAGAAGATGAAGGCAGAGGGAAGAGAGTGTACAGATTGTGGAATAAAGTTATGGAGAAGATGGAACTGGGAATGGGGACTGCAGCCAGGGAAAGGAATTAATTTTAGACAGCAGGAAAGGTGCTTCATCTTCTGAGTGACAGAACACCAAAGAAAGTATCCTTTAGAGCTCCTATTTCCTCTAACAAAAGTGAGGAAGTAGAGGCAAGCACAGGGCTGAACATAGTGAATGTGTTCGTAATATATCTATGAAAAATTGGGAGGCATTCACCAGGAATTAATGAAAAGAATACTTATTTGTAATTGAAGATTTCATTGAAGCCATACATTTGGTATCAATCAATCAAATGGTTATAAGTACATCTTGTGTTCTAGCCATTAGTCACTTTCAGAAATGCCAAGATAAATAAATCACAGTTTCTGCAATCTAGTCAGAGGGGTAAAGTATACCAATTCACAAAGTGTTGTGACAAAGGCTGAGCTAGAGGAGCAATGTTCAGTCAGATCCCAGAGGATGAGGATGGGGGAGCGGTCAGTTCTGGTCAGAGGGTCTATTGCTATAATTCCAGATTTCAGGAGTGCAACAGTTTTCAATTATAATAAAATCCTGGAGAAGGAGGCAGTTCCCTACCCTGGAATGAAAGAAATTATGGAATTGTGAGAAAAACAGGTTGAGGGGGAATTCATACAGATGCTAAAGTTATCTGAGAGTACAGAAGGTAGAAGGATGTGACTCAGATATCTGATTTCTTGGTAAGTATTTGGAAGTGGCCTGGAAATCTATATGGGCCAGTGATAAGGGTGACATACCCAGACAGGGTAAACATCAAAGGGAGTTGGAATCATATATGAGAGGGATATGTTAGTAACCCTAAAATAACAATAATGAGAAAAATATCTGAACCATTTCTCAGACCTATGATACAAAAGCCATCAGAATATGAATATCTTCCACTCAGAAGAATATCAGTGAAAATAAGGAAATTATGTTCTATAGGTTGAAGATGTAAAGGATTTTATAGATGATGACAGAGAGGCACCAGATGACCTGGACGAAAGTTCTGTGAAATAGTAAATAGAGAAGAAGCAGAAAGAGAGAGAGGAGAGAGAGAGAGAGAGAGAGAGAGAGAGAGAGAGAGAGAGAGAGAGAGAAGGGAATGAAGGAGAGGGGTAAAGGGGGAGAGGGGAGAGATCACATTACATCAACAGCTAAGGATACCAGAGGGTAAAGAATAGGAATAGTTGGCCCCATGATTCCTGAAACTCCCAGCAGCCTGATGCTTGTTAGCTTATAGTCAAGGGATTGCTTGCAACAATACCAGTGACTTTGCCAAGGGCCAAGTGTGGGACTAAGTGAATGTTATTGGTCTGTTGCAATCCAAAGAAAAAGTTCTTTAATTCAATATCTATTTTTAAATTGTTTTGAAATAGATTTCTTTCTGATAAGGAAAGATACTCATTGCAATATATATGGTAATACAGAAAAGTATAAAGAATAGAGACCCCTTTTAATACCCTAATGGAGATAACATGGTCATTGTCAACAAATACATGATATTAGTAGAATTCCTGGAATTCATTAGTTAGGACTCCTAAAAACACCTTGTCTGGAAGTGTTTCTTCTCTCTGCCATCAATACCATTTCTCACATTCTCTTTTCTAGCTTCCTCTCTGTTCTTCCTAAGCTCAGATCTCAGTTATCTCTGCAGTGGACATCCCTGAACACTGAGCATTGAAGTGATGTCACTTTGTGGCTGCAGAGGGTACAGCCCTAGCAAGGTGCTTAGGAGGCTCCTTATGGATCTCCTAGGAATCAGAGACCATATTGGGGGGCAAGTTAGGAAACTAGTCAGATTTTCATACCTACCTCTCAGAAGAGAAGATGTCACACTGGGGATGAGGCTAACCCAACTTCTCTGACATTCTCTCTGATGCCCATCACTTGCTGGTGTTCAACAGTGAGGTCTTACTTTGTCTGTTACCAGCAAGGCCCACTCAGTCTTCCCAGACATGATAGAGTCAGCCAGAGTGTAGAATGGGCCTCTGCCATCTAAACTTCAACTTCCACTGCCTCAACACAGTGGAGAATCTTCAATAATAGTTTCAGTCCTGCTGAAGATGGTATCTATTGATCTCATTTTTTCTTATTTTGCCTCTATTTCTGGAAGGGAGAAATAAAACAGACCTCGGAAGAACAATACTTTCACCTCTTTGAACTTGATAAGCTTGACCTTTATTTTACCATGTAAGTCAGGTCGACCATATACCACAAACTTTACTAATTTGTTCTTTTCCTTCTTCCTCCCACCTATCTCCTGCCACTTCCCCAGAAACATAAAACTTTCAACATCCCACTGTCCATTAGCATAAATAAACCTATGCTTTTAAAGTAAAAATAGTTTTAGTGCTATATTTGTTGCAAACTATATTACCATAAGAGGATAAAAATATTCTTGAGTAACAGGTAGATCATACACTTTAGAGGCAATGACATGCTTTTATTGTGGTTCCCTGAAAGTCAATTATTTTAGCCGTGTATTAAAACATTAGGATTCAGCACAAGTTTTATACCCACTTCAGAAATTGTTAAACCATGAAGTTTCTCAGGACATGTATCTCTGCGTTTTAATTTATTTTTTCTGTTGCCAATGTACGGTAGGCAGTTATAAAAATAAAAAAGCCATTTAAATTCAGGCTTTGCTATATAAAGCAATAAATATATTTTAGCTTTCTCCCTTGTTTTTATCTGTTGTTAACTTAAGCTTTATGTACATTTATACAATAGATAAGAAAATATTGGGCTAAGAAAGAACAGAAATGGCAAGAAATGGAAATGAGAGAAGTTCAGCGCCTAGAAGAACTGAAGAAATTAATGGCTGAACAGTCAGTAAAAGACAGAGAAAGGTAAAAAGAGATTTGACACTGCATGATAATGGAGGTTGTAAATGGGATATTTTGTAATGTGTTAGGATAAATAATATCAGAGAAAACATTTTTATACTTAAGGTATTCATTCAATATTTATATTCTGAAATGGATAAAATAATATCTATAATGTATTTTAAAATCCCCCACCCACCTTTTTTTTTTTGAGATAGAGTCTTGCTTTGCAGTTCAGGTTGGCCCTGAACTCACTATGTAGCCCAGACTGGCCTTGGACTTGTAGTGATCCTCCTGCCTCTGCCACCCAAGTGCTGGGATTATAGGCTTGTGCCACCACACCCAGTTAAACTCTTATTTTCATACATAAACCTCAAGTTTTCTGTTTTGTTCCTTTGATGACTTCCTAGCTAAAGCTCTCACAGAGGGCTTTATAATATCTGATTGCCCACTGTGTATATGAAATGATACTGGCTGTTCCTGTGACTTAATATTTTGACCCAGAAGGAGGAAACCATTATTCTTATAGGAAGAAAGGTCCTTTTACTGTGGCTGAGGCTGGGGGAGAAATACACAATTATTTAGAGCCAAGTGGAACTCATAATATATACTTAGCCACCCCATTTTTCATAAATGAAAAATAAATTTATAAATTTTTTATAAGATTTCCTAGATTCACAAAATTTTAGAGCTGGAAAGGATATTTGAGATCAACTAATCAAATCTCATTTCTTGTATGAGTACATACTGAAAGATTAAAATTATTTTTCCATGATTACTGCATCACCAGGAGCAAACAGAAAACACAGACAACATAGTAATTTGAATAGGAAAAGCTTAGTATTGAGAATTATAAACTGTATCATGAAATATACAGTTAAATAAAGTGATAAAGAGGACTCTCAGGAATACTCTAGGGCTGGAAGAGACCTCTCAAGGAAGCAGCAATTTGCATTTGGGCCCCTGTCCCCTTGGTTAAGATTCAGACTCCACTGTAGAAGCCATGGTTATGGCCCATTTTGAGGTGAAGTTCCTGGGTGGCTTAAACTGCAGCTAGTTCATAGACACTGGTCAAGCAGGAGGTACCTCACTTGGTGCAATAGCCCAGAGATGGATCTGAGCACTGGTAGGCTTGCAAGACTCAGTGGAAATCTGTTCGTGGCACTACCTCTGAAATTTGATGGGTCATGATCACAGGACAAATGTGACGCTGATTATCCCCCCATATAGGTGCTGGTGAGAGCAACGAAAATTCTGTGGTGTTCTCTCCTTTTTCTGACACAGCTAAATATTTTCCTAGCTTCAAGGAGATATAAGGAATCCATCTCCATTTTCACACAGCAGATAATGAAGGGTGGATGTAGAACTGAGAGACAATAAGTTGATAACTTGGGTAATCATCTGGCTTTCATATTTCTCGTTTCATAACATAAATTACATATAGTAAGTTTCTTTTAAGTGGTGGGCATCTTGCATGTATTTATCTAAGTCACTATGAGAGTATTGCCTAGAACTCTCAATATTATTTTTTGTTTAATTTTGGAGTGAAACTAAAACTGTTCTACAAAATAAAGCCTATTATAAAATTGCCCTTCACTCTTGTATAACCTTGCAAGATGTAACCATTTTATAGCCAGTTTTCACTCATATCTAGGAAGTGTCCTCTGTGACCATTGTGACAGTTATTTGAAATTCTACTGACCAAGATTCCAGAGTCATTCTGAAGTTACAGATAATGCTACTTATTCCTAAGGATATTCTAGATGAAAATCAGATTATTTCTGTGCAGTTTGGGACTGTAGAGTTGAGTATCATCTTCTGCTGAGAGAACAAAAATACACTGAAAAGGAGGCTCAAGGTGAGGAGGTCAAGAAACCAATAAACAAGAAGCCAGAGAAACAAGTACAATCCAGTATCCATGTGGAAACCAGAAGATGGGCCATGCCGTGGTTCAAAAACAAGAAGTAGAGGGGCCCCAAACAGCTAAATACTAAAGGGCAAGGCAAAGGCAGTGGTCAAAGTGCTGGTTGGCCAGTCTAAAACTATTCTAGGGAAAGCAAAGAAAGCCACAGGAATTAAAAGGGTTGGGCAAAATAGGACAGATGTGGAGACCCAGCATTAGGAGACTTGCTTCTAATAGAATCATCTCTCTTAGCAGGGAGCTTCTTTGATTACAGAGTCATTTCAGTCTTTTGCTTCCTGTCCCAGTAATTATCAAGATTAGCTGATTCAGAACTTCAATTGAAAAGAAGAAAAAGAAAATCAGATTAATCTGCATTCCATAACAGGGGGAAAAAATAGCCATTACAGCACAGCAAAAAGTACTAAGGACTAGGTTCCCTAGAGTTTTATTCTTAACTCTTCTTTGGATAGTATATGACTTTGGGAAAGTCAAATCATTTAATCTCCACAAGGCTCTGTTTTGTGCTATGGAAAATTGAACTGGATAACATCTAAAGGCTAAATGGGTTAACCAGCTTTTAAGGACCAGCGATTTATTATGTTCAAGACCTCTGAGGAAGTACAGCAGAACCACATAAGTATGGGCCCAGTGCCAGCATGCCAATGGGAAATCAGGGATGAAAGGTGTTAAGGTATCAGGATATATCCAAGGAATGATTCTCAGAAAAATTGCGATATTGTAAGTAGAAGTGTAAACCTTTATCTGTGATTAAGGGAGATGGAGTTCAACTCATAAAAACTGCTGATAGCTTTTGCTTCTGATGATAAGCAGACATTGGGTTTGTAGCCATCTTGGCATAAGAAATTTGGTTGTGTGGTTAAAACATTTTCCTGTCATAGTGAAATACAATAATCAAAAATTGTGTTTGCTGTTTTAACTGTAAGCATATTTTTATGCCAAAATAAAAAAGTTTGAAATATTTTCCAGCTCTGTCTTCAGGGTACACACACATAGCCTTGAGGGTTTGAAAACTTTTGTCATTTACTTCCTCCTTCGTATTTTTAAGATTAAGATTACTGAAAATAACATTCATAAATAATCTGATAGTTGAACAATATGAAAATCTCCTTTTGTAGGTGAAAGACTTGCATATTAACAGTTTCATGTGGTTTAACATGATAAAAAGATATAACAATTTGGTTTATTAATTACACTTTATTTCCAATTTATTTCAACATTTTAAAAATTTTATTGAAATTGTTTCTGACAAAGTTTCCACTAACCTCTTAATTTCCTACAATCCTATTTTCATTTCTCAACATGTTATTGGACCTAAGAAGGAAGTTCTCTAGAAATAGACTGTTGACATTAGGATTCTAGCTTTATTCTCTAGATAGCTGGATAAGTTATTTAATGTCTCAGTGCTTTAGTTTCCTTGTCTGTACAATGAATCTATAAATGCTATCTGCTATGTACTCATAAGATTTTTGCAAGGATCAAATGAGATGTTGAATGTAATATACTGCTTGGGATATAGTAAGTATTCATTAAATATAAATGATTCCTATTTTGACCTTTTTATGACATGTGATGTCTCTACCATACATTTTTTCCAAAAAATACTTTGGTTTTTAAAACATTTTTATGTAGAACATGTAATAATGAAGTCATTCTTATAAAAATTGAAACATTTAAATTAAAGCAATGTCTCTTGACCACTGCCTTCATGGAATCTCTTCTCCAGAAGCCATTGCTGTATCTTTTCATATAAGGGCACTAATCCCTCCTGAGTGTTCCCTCCCTTTCCAAAAGGCCTCCTCTCCAAATACCATCACATTGGGGATAAGAGGATACAGCATACAAATGGGGGATGGTGGTGTTCACGTGTTACTTTTTAAAGCACTTACTATTTGTTTGTTTTGGTACTGGGGATTGAGCTTGGGCCCTGGGCTTTTGAGGCAGGTGGTGAACCCCTGAGCCAAATCCTGGGCTCACACCTACTTACTATTAACTATTACTGCTGCTATGTCTTTGTTCCAATTAGAAAAGTGGTACACTGTGGCAGCAGTGTACACAGATACCCCTGTTTCACGTGGACAACTTGGGAAAAGTGTCCTCTCCCAAAATGACACAAAGTTTAACAGAGGCAATACTGGATATCATATTCATTTATATCCCTGGCCAGGAATCATTTACATAAAGCAAAATTTCCATGTGACATATAGTATCCCTGCAAAAATTAAAATTTCTTTTAAATGAATATATATTATGTATACCTTTCCTAAAAATTAGCTCTATGGCCATCTGGAATTTATACTTATGAACGATATGAGCTAAGTGTTTGAATTCCATTTTTTCTAATTGTATAGTCAACTATCTCAATACAGATAACTTAATGATTCAGTTTTACCCACTGATTTGAAATGCCATCCTTATTATATATTACATTTCTAATTATACTTTTATACCCATATGGACTCAGTTTGATCAAATAAAAACTGATTTATATTTATATTGCTACAAGGATACCATGCTGTTTCAATCATTCTGTTTTGCTAGTAGGACAAGTGTTCGCTCATTGTTCTTTTCAAAAATAGCTATTCTTATGTCAGATTTCATCTAAAAATCCTGTTGACTTCTTGCATTAAAATTCTGTTCAAAGGAGATACATACATCACATTTATTCCTCATTCTAAGTACATGGTTCTGAAATAGCTCTCTAGTTCTAGTCTTTTCTCGGGCCCTTTGAAAATTTTCATAGATTTTTCTGGTGAAAGTTTGGAGATTATTTTAGAGTAGGTAAAAATTGGTGATCGCCAATTATAGGGCCAGGGATTTAGCTCAGCGGTTCGGTGGCCTGCCTCGCAAGCGCAAAGGACCCGAGTTTGATCCCTGGTACCACAAAAAAAAAAAAAAAAA